TGAGATGACAGTGCCAGCAATGGACCACAGCTCATTTAAGTTTGAGACCCCTGTTCTAAGAGCATTGGTTTGTGTTCACACTCCAAAAACAATAAAAATTTCAGAATATGAACTTTGTTAAATGATGTCAGCATAAAATTAAAGTTGACCTCTGACCCACAGGTAGCCAGGTTGTTGCGTGAAGGTGGAAAGGAACACCTGCTGAGCAGATTAGCGTATCCGGGTGCTGGACACCTGATTGAGCCGCCATTCTCTCCTCATTTTAGAGCTACGAAATTTATCCTACTAAACAGTAAAGAGAAGGGTCAGTTTCTTTCTCTCTCTCACATACTCGCACACACTTCAACCTGACTTCCAGGAAGAATTTCTGGTTGTAACCACTATATTAGGTACACCTGAAAATCAAGGGGTTGAATTTTGAGGTCCCTTAAAAATATGTTTACACACCAGGTTGCTAAAATCCTCTGCTTTGTGCTTTGTGATTTATTAGTTAGCTCTGTAACTGTGTGTGTTTCAGTGATATTACTGTGGGGAGGACACACCAAAGCTCATTCAGATGCTCAGGAAGACTCCTGGAGGAAGATCTTGAGTTTTCTGCAGCTTCACCTGTACCATAGCCCGAGTGTTAAAGCAAAACTGTGAGAGTCACATGATGTCGAATCACTGGTGTGATATACTTACCATGGTTTCATTCTGCAACTGCTTTACTTAGATGAGACTAATTAACCTCAGGTGAAGCCATGGTTGCCCGCCAGACAATAAGAAAACAAGTAGCTATTACAAACAAGAACGTAATAGGCAGTTAAATAAATAAAACAACAAAATGTGTAAAGCCGTGAGAGAAAGAACTTAAAGATACCTGGAAATTAGAAGATGAACAGAGACCATAGAGTCCAGCTAGCTTAAACACCAATGCTAGCGACTCAAGCCAACCAGACACATAAAAAGAAAAGTGTCAGTATGGCTCAAAGTCATGCGACACCAAAGGGGTTTGCAATACTTGATTCACCGCGATATGGATCTCTCAGCAAAGTGCAAGGATCTCCAAAACCGATTGAGACGTAACAATATTAGGATCTCAAAATGAAGTGAAGGAAAGGATATGGTCAGGTTTGTGAAACAACTACTTAAGAATGATAGTGATGTTCCTCAATGCAGCAATAAAAGATAAGATTATAGAGCAAGCATGGAGCCAGAGACAGGTCTTCTTCCAAGATAAACGGATCTTCTTCGATCAAGACTACACTCCCAGAGTAGAAAAGAAAAGAGCTAAGGTTCACGAAATCATAAAACAACTAAAATAAAAAGAAAGTGCAGGCGAAATGTCTGTACCTGGCAGAAGTGAAAATTAAATTGGATACCACAGAGAAGACCTTTGCAATACTAACAGAGGCTGCTGAAGGAACTCGCAGTCAAAATGCGCTGCAGAGAAAGAGGGGCACGGAGCTGTCAACACATTGTTAGATAGTTAAATATGTTTATTGTTTAAATAAGGGAAGCATATATTATTGTACAGAGATTATGACTTATTTACATTTTGTAAATTATAATGTAAGCAGAATCATTAACCCAATAAAGAGAAAAAAGCCTAAAGAAATTGCAGTGCTCTGTAACCTTGATCCAAGAAACTCACCTACCTGAGAGCATCTCATGAAGGTTGTTTTGTCATGGTAACTGGAACAATAGGAGGCATAAAAAGAATTTAAATGTGTATGCCCAAAATGAATGCACTTTTTTTAAAAGGTATTGCACCTTTTGTGGCAGATAAAAGAGGAGGAATTATACTTAGGTGAGGAGATTTTAATTTGTACTCTGAATACTAAACTAGACACATTACTGGTAATAATAAAACCTCAGTCCAAAATGACCTAGGTATGATTGTCACGATCCTGGGTCTTATGACCCAGTGTTTTGAGTTTTAGTTTATTTTGATGTTTATAGTAT